GCATGCACTGAGGTGTATTTTGAGGCGCCTCAAAATACAACCGTGCACGCTGCACTGCTCATGCTGTTGCGTTGCTTTCAGCTATCCACTCTGCATGCACTGAGGTGTATTTTGAGGCGCCTCAAAATACAACCGTGCACGCTGCACTGCTCATGCTGTTGCGTTGCTTTCAGCTATCCACTCTGCATGCACTGAGGTGTATTTTGAGGCGCCTCAAAATACAACCGTGCACGCTGCACTGCTCATGCTGTTGCGTTGCTTTCAGCTATCCACTCTGCATGCACTGAGGTGTATTTTGAGGCGCCTCAAAATACAACCGTGCACGCTGCACTGCTCATGCTGTTGCGTTGCTTTCAGCTATCCACTCTGCATGCACTGAGGTGTATTTTGAGGCGCCTCAAAATACAACCGTGCACGCTGCACTGCTCATGCTGTTGCGTTGCTTTCAGCTATCCACTCTGCATGCACTGAGGTGTATTTTGAGGCGCCTCAAAATACAACCGTGCACGCTGCACTGCTCATGCTGTTGCGTTGCTTTCAGCTATCCACTCTGCATGCACTGAGGTGTATTTTGAGGCGCCTCAAAATACAACCGTGCACGCTGCACTGCTCATGCTGTTGCGTTGCTTTCAGCTATCCACTCTGCATGCACTGAGGTGTATTTTGAGGCGCCTCAAAATACAACCGTGCACGCTGCACTGCTCATGCTGTTGCGTTGCTTTCAGCTATCCACTCTGCATGCACTGAGGTGTATTTTGAGGCGCCTCAAAATACAACCGTGCACGCTGCACTGCTCATGCTGTTGCGTTGCTTTCAGCTATCCACTCTGCATGCACTGAGGTGTATTTTGAGGCGCCTCAAAATACAACCGTGCACGCTGCACTGCTCATGCTGTTGCGTTGCTTTCAGCTATCCACTCTGCATGCACTGAGGTGTATTTTGAGGCGCCTCAAAATACAACCGTGCACGCTGCACTGCTCATGCTGTTGCGTTGCTTTCAGCTATCCACTCTGCATGCACTGAGGTGTATTTTGAGGCGCCTCAAAATACAACCGTGCACGCTGCACTGCTCATGCTGTTGCGTTGCTTTCAGCTATCCACTCTGCATGCACTGAGGTGTATTTTGAGGCGCCTCAAAATACAACCGTGCACGCTGCACTGCTCATGCTGTTGCGTTGCTTTCAGCTATCCACTCTGCATGCACTGAGGTGTATTTTGAGGCGCCTCAAAATACAACCGTGCACGCTGCACTGCTCATGCTGTTGCGTTGCTTTCAGCTATCCACTCTGCATGCACTGAGGTGTATTTTGAGGCGCCTCAAAATACAACCGTGCACGCTGCACTGCTCATGCTGTTGCGTTGCTTTCAGCTATCCACTCTGCATGCACTGAGGTGTATTTTGAGGCGCCTCAAAATACAACCGTGCACGCTGCACTGCTCATGCTGTTGCGTTGCTTTCAGCTATCCACTCTGCATGCACTGAGGTGTATTTTGAGGCGCCTCAAAATACAACCGTGCACGCTGCACTGCTCATGCTGTTGCGTTGCTTTCAGCTATCCACTCTGCATGCACTGAGGTGTATTTTGAGGCGCCTCAAAATACAACCGTGCACGCTGCACTGCTCATGCTGTTGCGTTGCTTTCAGCTATCCACTCTGCATGCACTGAGGTGTATTTTGAGGCGCCTCAAAATACAACCGTGCACGCTGCACTGCTCATGCTGTTGCGTTGCTTTCAGCTATCCACTCTGCATGCACTGAGGTGTATTTTGAGGCGCCTCAAAATACAACCGTGCACGCTGCACTGCTCATGCTGTTGCGTTGCTTTCAGCTATCCACTCTGCATGCACTGAGGTGTATTTTGAGGCGCCTCAAAATACAACCGTGCACGCTGCACTGCTCATGCTGTTGCGTTGCTTTCAGCTATCCACTCTGCATGCACTGAGGTGTATTTTGAGGCGCCTCAAAATACAACCGTGCACGCTGCACTGCTCATGCTGTTGCGTTGCTTTCAGCTATCCACTCTGCATGCACTGAGGTGTATTTTGAGGCGCCTCAAAATACAACCGTGCACGCTGCACTGCTCATGCTGTTGCGTTGCTTTCAGCTATCCACTCTGCATGCACTGAGGTGTATTTTGAGGCGCCTCAAAATACAACCGTGCACGCTGCACTGCTCATGCTGTTGCGTTGCTTTCAGCTATCCACTCTGCATGCACTGAGGTGTATTTTGAGGCGCCTCAAAATACAACCGTGCACGCTGCACTGCTCATGCTGTTGCGTTGCTTTCAGCTATCCACTCTGCATGCACTGAGGTGTATTTTGAGGCGCCTCAAAATACAACCGTGCACGCTGCACTGCTCATGCTGTTGCGTTGCTTTCAGCTATCCACTCTGCATGCACTGAGGTGTATTTTGAGGCGCCTCAAAATACAACCGTGCACGCTGCACTGCTCATGCTGTTGCGTTGCTTTCAGCTATCCACTCTGCATGCACTGAGGTGTATTTTGAGGCGCCTCAAAATACAACCGTGCACGCTGCACTGCTCATGCTGTTGCGTTGCTTTCAGCTATCCACTCTGCATGCACTGAGGTGTATTTTGAGGCGCCTCAAAATACAACCGTGCACGCTGCACTGCTCATGCTGTTGCGTTGCTTTCAGCTATCCACTCTGCATGCACTGAGGTGTATTTTGAGGCGCCTCAAAATACAACCGTGCACGCTGCACTGCTCATGCTGTTGCGTTGCTTTCAGCTATCCACTCTGCATGCACTGAGGTGTATTTTGAGGCGCCTCAAAATACAACCGTGCACGCTGCACTGCTCATGCTGTTGCGTTGCTTTCAGCTATCCACTCTGCATGCACTGAGGTGTATTTTGAGGCGCCTCAAAATACAACCGTGCACGCTGCACTGCTCATGCTGTTGCGTTGCTTTCAGCTATCCACTCTGCATGCACTGAGGTGTATTTTGAGGCGCCTCAAAATACAACCGTGCACGCTGCACTGCTCATGCTGTTGCGTTGCTTTCAGCTATCCACTCTGCATGCACTGAGGTGTATTTTGAGGCGCCTCAAAATACAACCGTGCACGCTGCACTGCTCATGCTGTTGCGTTGCTTTCAGCTATCCACTCTGCATGCACTGAGGTGTATTTTGAGGCGCCTCAAAATACAACCGTGCACGCTGCACTGCTCATGCTGTTGCGTTGCTTTCAGCTATCCACTCTGCATGCACTGAGGTGTATTTTGAGGCGCCTCAAAATACAACCGTGCACGCTGCACTGCTCATGCTGTTGCGTTGCTTTCAGCTATCCACTCTGCATGCACTGAGGTGTATTTTGAGGCGCCTCAAAATACAACCGTGCACGCTGCACTGCTCATGCTGTTGCGTTGCTTTCAGCTATCCACTCTGCATGCACTGAGGTGTATTTTGAGGCGCCTCAAAATACAACCGTGCACGCTGCACTGCTCATGCTGTTGCGTTGCTTTCAGCTATCCACTCTGCATGCACTGAGGTGTATTTTGAGGCGCCTCAAAATACAACCGTGCACGCTGCACTGCTCATGCTGTTGCGTTGCTTTCAGCTATCCACTCTGCATGCACTGAGGTGTATTTTGAGGCGCCTCAAAATACAACCGTGCACGCTGCACTGCTCATGCTGTTGCGTTGCTTTCAGCTATCCACTCTGCATGCACTGAGGTGTATTTTGAGGCGCCTCAAAATACAACCGTGCACGCTGCACTGCTCATGCTGTTGCGTTGCTTTCAGCTATCCACTCTGCATGCACTGAGGTGTATTTTGAGGCGCCTCAAAATACAACCGTGCACGCTGCACTGCTCATGCTGTTGCGTTGCTTTCAGCTATCCACTCTGCATGCACTGAGGTGTATTTTGAGGCGCCTCAAAATACAACCGTGCACGCTGCACTGCTCATGCTGTTGCGTTGCTTTCAGCTATCCACTCTGCATGCACTGAGGTGTATTTTGAGGCGCCTCAAAATACAACCGTGCACGCTGCACTGCTCATGCTGTTGCGTTGCTTTCAGCTATCCACTCTGCATGCACTGAGGTGTATTTTGAGGCGCCTCAAAATACAACCGTGCACGCTGCACTGCTCATGCTGTTGCGTTGCTTTCAGCTATCCACTCTGCATGCACTGAGGTGTATTTTGAGGCGCCTCAAAATACAACCGTGCACGCTGCACTGCTCATGCTGTTGCGTTGCTTTCAGCTATCCACTCTGCATGCACTGAGGTGTATTTTGAGGCGCCTCAAAATACAACCGTGCACGCTGCACTGCTCATGCTGTTGCGTTGCTTTCAGCTATCCACTCTGCATGCACTGAGGTGTATTTTGAGGCGCCTCAAAATACAACCGTGCACGCTGCACTGCTCATGCTGTTGCGTTGCTTTCAGCTATCCACTCTGCATGCACTGAGGTGTATTTTGAGGCGCCTCAAAATACAACCGTGCACGCTGCACTGCTCATGCTGTTGCGTTGCTTTCAGCTATCCACTCTGCATGCACTGAGGTGTATTTTGAGGCGCCTCAAAATACAACCGTGCACGCTGCACTGCTCATGCTGTTGCGTTGCTTTCAGCTATCCACTCCGTTTCCTTGGCAATTTCCTTCATCTCCTGAACTTTACCGAACTAACCCCCGATGAGCTTCTTCCCAACCAGTTGGACTAGTATCAGTTCTTGCACTACTGCGTTTGAATCTCCACTGGGGTTGCTGCACCTCCCCTCCCTCCTTTTCTTTCCCCCCTAAAAAACTCTGTCTTGCCTCTCCCCCCAGCCCCACTACCCTCCCCTCTTCGCTCCACTCTCCCTCCTCCGCCAGCCACTTTAACTCCCATCTCCCACCACTGAACGCCACTTTCCCTGCACTTTCTTCCCCTCCTCTCCCTCTCCCTCTCCTTCTCCCTCTCTCTCTCCCTCTCCCTCTCCCTCTCCCCAACCCCCTAACCCTCTCCCCTTGCAGTTTCTTCCAAAAGCCACTCGCAGACACCATGGTCCCTTCCGTCCCTGTCTCCTGCATCCTCTCGCAAGCTGCCACCAACAACATTCCTCCCCAGCCTCCCTCCTCGCTCTCTCAATCTGCTCAACATGCTGCTTCTGCTGAAGCAGCAGGGGCTAGGCAGCTAATGCAGGGGGAAGAGGGGGGAGTAGGTGGGAAGCTGAGGGGAGTGGGGGAGGGAGATGCGGAAGGGGAAGTGTCGTCAGCAGCAGGAGCCATAGAAGGACGAGAAGCAGCAGCAGAAACAGCAGAATCAACACCAGCAGCAGCAGCAACAGCAGCAGGGGAGACATGGGAGGAGTGGGAGGCATGGCGGGTGGCAGGCATAGCACGGATGGTGCAGCAGACGCAGCAGAGGGCGAGAGCAGGCGACACCTTGATTCTGTGGTCAGAGGCGGCTGTGATTCTGTTGCACGCCCATGAGGAGACCACCCTCCTGGCTGACCTCGCTGCTATTGCCACCGCTGCCAGCACCAACCGCACTGCCGTTGCTGCTGGTCCTGCTGCCGGTGCCGATCCGGCAGCTCTTGCGCCGTTCATTGGCGCGTCTTATATGAAGGTGTGTGCTGCTCAAGCTGCTCTTGACTGTCCTGACTGCCCTGACTGCCCTGGCTGCCCTGACTGCCATGACTGCCCACGACAAGACGTGTTGGTTGCTACACATGCACACCTGTCCCCGGCCAGAGAAACATGGGCAAAGCAACGCATTCCCTCCCTCCTATCTGCCACCCCAATCCCCCCTCCATCCCTTCCCCCAGCTCATCTCCCCGACGCAATTCACCAACTCGTTCAACGCTCCTTGGCCCCAGCGGCATCCCCATTCTACCGTACAACAAGTCGCACCCCGTGCCATCCGTGGAAGGCAACGTGCAGCCGGGCCATGGCACCCTGCCTGCCCATGGTGGACACTTACCCTTGTTGCCGGCCAGAGACTCATAGCCAAGCCAACCAGCGCCTTCCTTCCCTCACAACTGCAACCCCCACCGCAAAATCCTTCTTCTGCTGCCCCCCCCGTCCGCCTTTGTCTTTGTCCCTCCCCCCCCAGCTCATCTCCCCGACGCAGTTCACCAACTCATTCACCCTCATCGCCCCCAGCGGCACCCCCATTCTCCGATACAACAAGACCCACCCCGTGCCCTCCGTGGAAGGCAATGTGCTGCCGGGCGATGGCACTCTCCCCGTGGTGGACACGCCTCTGGGGAGGCTGTCTGTCGCCATCTGCTTCGACCTGCAGTTCCCTGCTCTCATCAGCCAGGCGGGCAGGCAAGGGTGAGTTGCGTGCGTGCGTGAGTCTGTGTAAATGTGTGTGTGACGTGCGGAGGGGGGAGGGGGAAAGGGTTGTCCTTGGCCATTCTTCTTTGACCTGCACTTTCCTGCGCTGATTAGCCAGGCAAGGAGGCAAGGGTGAGGCAAGGGTGAGCCAAGGGTGCATGTGAGGCTCAGGACCGAGTGAGATGCTTGCCTGTGCGTGTGTGTAAGCTCACTCACTTACTCACTCCAATGAGTGTGGGAAAGGCCAGAGGAGTCACTCCGTTGCTGGTCAAACTTTTTCCCCTGGCCCCACTCACACTTAACCACACTCACAACCTTCAACGCCAACCACCACTCTCACCGCCCTCAGAGTGGACATTCTGCTGCAGCCCAGCTGGACGTGGGGCGCCATAGGCCACGTGACATTCGAGACGGATGCAGTGAGGGCAGCAGAGAACGGGCTCACACTGCTGCGCTGCTCCTCCATTGGGGTCTCGGGTGTCGTCTCCCCGTACTACCGCACCCTTGCTGCACAGTGAGTGCTTTTTGATCCGTTTCAATAACCTGCGCAGTGCGTGCTGCTGCTGCCGCCGCCGCCGCCATGAATATGTATCACATCTGTTCTGTTGTAACATGTCAAATTTTGCCTGCACCAAATAAACATCAGCACCGCACACCTCTTGCAGTTGAATTCATCCATCTTCTCAGACATTCACCCATCTTGCTCACAGGATCACCCAGCTCCCCACACGCATTTACCCTTTTGCCTTCCTCCCTGCTCCTTGTGTTTCTTCTCACTCTCCCATGCCTCTTCAGGGAAGGACTAGACACTGGGCTACTCACAATGGTCCTGCCCCTCCTGCCCCATGCCCAAGCTCTCTACCCTTATGCTGGCCTCCCTATGTCGCTCCTCCTCCTCTCCCTCACTCTCCTTGCAGCATTTCTCGCCATTGCCCCGCCCTCCCTCTCCCTCCCCCTCTGCCGCTGCCTCCCCAACTCCCTCTGCTCGTTGCTGCCTCACCATCTCTGCTTGGCCAGACAGTGGGAGGAGAGGGAGGAAAAGAAGAGGCAGGGATAGGGAGTAAAGACGAAGGGTTGGTCTGTAGCACTGTAAGGTTGCGTAGAATGGGTGGCTGGAATCAAATTGCAGGTGCCAGGCTGGTCTGCTGTCCAAGTTTTGCGTTTAGTCAACAACTGCAAAGAGCAATGTGTTTATAAATATGCAGCAGCATTACAAAGGATATAAACCGCAAAGAAATCTCTAATATTTCTGTGATGAGGTTATACTAAAAGCACAAGCATGTGCTCCTGTGTTATCAAACCCAGAACCCGAATTTCAAAACAGGGTCGCAAACTGGGCCTAGTTAGAGCACCCACACGTACATGGCTACCTGATTTGCCCCGTGGGACTAAGCACTGGGTTTGAACGAGCAGGGGGCCGAAGGCGAGGGGAGGGGGAAGGGGGAGGTGGGGGAAAGGGGAGGGGCGAAGAGAAGCACAAGTATGTGCTCCTGTGTCATCAAACCCATAATCAAAACAGGGTCGCAAACTGGGCCTAGTTAGAGCACCCACAAGTATATGGCTACCTGACTTGCCCCGTGGGACTAAGCACTGGGTTTGAACGAGCAGGGGGGCCGAAGGCGAGGGGAGGGGGAAAGGGGAGGTGGGGGAAAGGGCAGGGGCGAAGGGCGAAGGGGAGGTCACGATGGAGGGGGAGGACGAGGTGGAGGGCAAGGGGGAGGGTGAGGGGGAGGGCGAGGGGGTGGGCGATGGCGAAGGCAAGGGCGGGGGCGAGGGCGAGGACGGCGGCGACGACGACAGCGAGGAGGGGGGGGATGTCGAAGAGAAAGGCCCCGCCCACGCTTGGGTGTAGCCGATCGTGCCGTCAACCAGGAGAGCTCGAAAAAATGGTCCTCGAAGCCTTCGCTGGTCAACAGAAGTAATGGTCGAGCAGGCCCTGCTCGACAGGACATGGTCGATGTTAGTGGTCGACGAGCCCGTCGAGAGAAGCTGGCCGACGAGTACGTTGAGAAGTGCTGTTCGACAGAGCAGTGTCGACCTGTTCGACGGAAGTTGCTCGACTGCGAAACTTGGTAGGTGGGCGAGTTTCGCCCCTGAAGGCAATAGCGAAGTCGACCTTTGCGGTGGCATCCTGAGGTCGACGTGGTATGTCTGGTGCGACTATCGACACGTGGCCGACTTGGCATCTGCGTGATGCGCGGAACAAGGTGGGCGCGCGCGTGTGCTATAGTCACTTGCGGCTTCGACGCTGGCAAGCCACCTACCTGCAGAGCTGGTAAGCCGCCCTGGTGCAACGGTGACAATTTAACGCCTTGCAGTGTTGGCAAGCCGCCTCCCAGTTGCGTCGGCATGCTGTCGACTTGCTACGCTTGCAAGTTGCCTCTGTGTTGCACTAGAGGTCGACCTGCCTAGTTGCTAAGCAGCTAGGTCTCTCATGTAGTCATTTCTTGCCAATTGCCATCATTATTGTCTCCAACGTTTGGCAGTGAGACTCTTGCCAACTTTCTCTATGAATGCGCGAGTAGAGAGAACACAAGCAAACGTTACGATCGCTTGTACCACCTGTACCTTTCCCCAAAGTCCAGCTCCTGGTGTAGAGTGACTCTCCGCATGGTGCGGTGAGTGTGGAAGACCCCACCCCTTTAGATTAGTAGCCGATTCACCGCTTACCTAAGTCGTCATTAGGCCGGCAGCCCGTGTAGGCCATGGTGCCCATCCTGGGAGAAGACAAAGGCGTAGAGGAGACCTTGAAGGCACGAGAGGCTGATGTTCAGAGTCGCCACACAGCTGGCGAGTTTGGTGAGGCTCCCTTGGAGGTGCTCCTCATAGGCACTCGCGCGCAGTGAGTGCATGAGCACCTCCCCGACCTGAAGCGGACGGCGCGTCCGCCTCTCCCCTACCCGTACACAACAAAGGCGGGGTCGACGTCCGGTGTGAGGATCTAGGATCGAGCTCAGAAAAGAGAATTGTAATTGATTGATCCATCTGGGTACAATACGAGGCTATATATAGTCTCGACACAAGGCCAGTTGCCCAGGTGTTACGCAAATGTTCTGAGGGTCGCGAAGCGTCCCGAACAGAACCTTCCCGAACTCAGTAGAAAGCAATTCGGTGGCAACCGAAAAGGCTTGAGTTTGGTACACGTAACCTGGTTCGGTGCTATACCTACAATAAAATATAGGAATGCACCTAACCTAGGAAATCAAGCATATCTATGCATGATAAATAAAACCCAAGCTAGATATAGCATAATAAAGTCTAGGCAAGCTAGCAAAGCCAGCATAAGCCGTCGTACTCTCACATCCAGGTCAACGGCGGTGACCAAGTCGGCAACGAGGGCACGAGGTGACTCGTCGAATAATCAGGTCTGCCGACGTCGGTGTCGGAGGGATACATGCGCGAGGGCTGCGGTCGATGGCGGCTGCAGGAAGCTCGCAAGGCGACGTCGGTGGGCGACGTCGCTCTCCCCAGCGAAGTGGTGTTGGACCGACGTCGGCGACCTACTACTCGGCTGGTTGAGGCGGAAGAATTGTGTTGTGTACGGCTACTTCAAATTCTCGCTGGACAAAATTTCCACGCCGAAGTTGCTGGAAGGTCGACATAACATCCTGACGTGGTGGGAGTCGATTGAGCCGCCCCTGGAAATTGCCGGGCTGAAGAAGTCCGTCGACGGCGACGTGTTGGCGTCAGACGATGAGGACGTCAAGCTATGGTCGGAGATTTGCCCTCGCTCACTTGCTGACCTTCATGGTCATCTCGAGGTGCTGCTCGCGGATGGTGCAAGTTGCCCTGAAGCCGTGCCGACTTCGGGTGGACGCCAGCCACCAAGCGTGGCACTTCATCATGCGCACGTACAAGTTTACTGCTTGTACATCGGCCAACTGGAGCAGCGGTTGACAAACATCAGGATGGGAGAGCAGGAGTCGGCAACCGGATACTGCAAACATGCTCGGCGGATTCTAGGCGACCTGCGGATGGTCGGCGTTGACTACTCGACGGCGTCCTACATTATATACGTCGTCAAGGGTCTCCTGATGGGCTACAGCATGATGAGGCAGATGCTGGTGATGCCCGACATTCGTGAGTCGCTCGATGAGGACACATTGTCGAGCCATATCATCAACGACGAATTCATGCAGGAGTCTGAGAGGCCCACGGAGCTCCTTCCGTAGGCAAACTACGTCTTTTCGACGAAGCAGGGACGTCAGTAGGGGCAGCAGAAGTCAGGTGGAGGTGGTAGCGGAGGTGGAATGTCGACAAAGGATGGCGGAAATCGGAACGGTTGAGCTTCGAAGGGGGGAAAGTTTCAACTTTCATGTGAGTTTTTCTTCAAGCGACGAGACTTGATAACTGTGTGGGGCAATGAGTGACCATCGGTGGTAGTCAATGACCATCCATAACAGATTTGGCCCTTTCAACAACCGTTCGCGATAACCAACTGAGCGACCTTTACCGTGACGAGGCATATGATAATCCAGGTTATACAGAGACCTTGTTATTTTGCTGCACGACTTGTATAGACACCTCCGCATTGCACCAGCTGATGCTTCATAAAGGCTTCCATGGTAGGGCCTCAAAGCTATACATGGTAAGGCTCCCCGAAACTATTTGTGCTATCCATGGATAGCACAAATAGTTTCGGGGAGGGACAAATGCCCGGGAGAAGCAAGATTCGGGGGTGGGCAATGCCCCACGCCAATTTCCTACGCTGGTGACGGAAACCTTTTACTTGTACTAGTTGGCCCTATTGCTGCAGGCCAACAATTTCCCATCACGGAAAAATGTTTAACAGGCTGCAAAGAAAGAAAGAAAAAAAACAAACAATGAGAGCCTGTTCATAGTTTTGACACCATTGTCATCTTGCCATTTTGATACTAACCGAAACTGCAGGTTAGTGTCAAAATTTCTGAGATTGTTAGCCAGTAAAACTGCACGTGATGCTCAACATCTGCCCGCAAATTCGCCCTTCCCATAAAGATGATGCTCAACTGCTGCACACGAATTTGCCCTGCCCATTTTAGATTCCCTACCTATTTTAGATTCCCTGCCCATTTTAGATTCCCTGCCCATGTGTTTTTGGGGCCGGGAAGTTGCACCCACTTTACAAGCCCCCAAGCACGTCGCAGTGATGATGAACCAATTGTAAACGAAGAGACCGACGTCAATTGTCAATGCAGTGATGATGAACCAACGGTAACACGAAGAGACTGAGGTCAAACAGTAAATGTGTAACCCCGCGAACCATGGTAAAAAACGGCCATCGCGGAAGATGTATCAGTGATACATCCGTTCACGTCGGGCGACGTCCGAAGCTAGGGCACATCAACTTAACCGTGAAAGCCAACATAACCGTTGTTTTTTTTTTGTACTTTGTACCTTAACCGGCCATTTGTTCCACGCCGTTTCCTCTCCTAGCAATTGGTCCAAATCAATGATTCTACCGCTCGAGGTAGAATCAGCCTCCGCATCATTGATGCGGGGCAGGAACCAAAAGCCCAACTATTTGTGCTCGGTAAGCTTGAACGCCCTACCTCCGAACGCGTTCAAATTTCAAGAAGATTTTCTCGATGACTATCCATCTATGACTGGTCAAGAAATGTGAGTGGTATGCCTTTACATTTTTTTTTTTTTTTTTTCGTGGAATCGTATACACTATATCAAGCATAGATGACATCCGCAGTCATAACTGTTTATCGGAGAGCGTGCTGCCTATTTATCTAAGCAGACCCCCTTGTGCATGTCTCTAGGGCGATTAAAATGTGACCGTCGGATCTGTCCGAACTATGATGTAGGCTGTAGTGGGGCACTCCTTAAGGGGTACAACCCAATTAGGTTTTGCCATACAAACCTTGTACTGCTGTGTTTCTAGTCATTCTTCATTCCTGATCTTGACATGGTTTCAGAGCAGGTTCCCTAGTGGGAACGTTTTTTTTTAAGGCCCACCACGATATTTTTTTTTTCCTGCCCTGCTCGAAGCGCGCTTCGCGCCTGCCTCACCAGCGCCGTCGCGCGCCCTGCCCTACTGCTGCCCGTAGCAGCCCTGCCCTCCTGGCCCGT